CGGGTGGCTGGCTCATGCCATGCCAGGTGCAGGGTCTGCTGGCTGGGTGCTGGCAGGCTTGCACCTGGCACGGGCACCGTAGCCAGACCATGGCCCTTTAAGGGCTCCGGGGCTGGGAGGGGGACAATAGAGTTTCCCTGGCTTGGCCCAGAGTGGCCACCAGGGCAAGCTGGGGAGGGCTAGCCTCCCACTAGTTTGAATTAAGTGGCTACACAGCCCTTAATTCGAACTACTTAATTTGAACTAGGCGTTAGTCCTCGTAGAATGAGGTTTACCTAGTTTGAATTAAGTGCTCCGCTAGTTCGAATTAAGTTCAAACTAGTGGTTTGCATGTGTAGCGCCTATGAAAGTTAATTTGAACTAACGGCTGTTAGTTCGAACTAACTTTGTAGTGTAGACATACCCTAAGTTAGGTGGAGAGGTAGATACATTGGATGGTAGGGATAGGGTCCAGCGAAACATAGACAAATTGGAGGATTAAGTCAAAAGGAATCTGACGAGGTTCAACAAGAACAAGTGGAGAGTCCTGCACTTGGGACAGAAGAACCCCAAGCACTGTTACAGGCTGGGGACTGATTTTCTGCAGATCTGCTGGTTAGTCAAGGACGTGGGGATTATTGTGGATGAGAAGCTGGATATGAGTCAACAGGGCGCCTTGTAGCCAAGAAGGCTAACAGCATATTAGGGTGCATTAGGAGGAGCATTGCTAGCAGATCTAGAGAAGTCATTACTTCCCCTTTATTTGATGATGGTGAGGTCACATCTGGAGTATAGTGTCCAATTCTGGGCCCTCAATTACCATAAGGATGTGGACTCATTCGAGAAGGTCCAACAGAGGGCAACAAAAATGATTGAGGGCTGGAACACATGACTTACAAGGAGAGGCTGAAGGATTTGGACTTATTTAGTCTTCTCTGTGGTGACAGATGACAGAATGAGGAGCAATGGTCACAATTTACAGTGGGAGAAGTCTAGATTGGATATTAGGAAAAACTACTTTACTAGGAGGCTAGTGAAGCGCTGGGATGGGTTCCCTAGGGAGTTGGTGGAATCTCCATCCCTAGAGGTTTTTAAGTCCTAATTTGACAAAGCCCTGGCTGGGATGATTTAATTGGGGTTGGTCCTGCTTTAGAGAAGGGGGATAGAATCAACCTCCTGAGGTCTCTTCCAACCTTGTAATTCTATGAATAACAATCGAACCAGCAGGAAATGATCTGCCCTGGACACAGCAAACTGAGTATGTAACCCCTAGCTGAACCACTTGGACAGAGCAGGCCTGGTCTGGTAGGTCGGTATCATTTGCAAGGCCTGGCAGGCTTTGCAGAAGTGAAAGGCCCAGGAAGTCCTCTCTGATGGTTTGAGCCACGTTCGCCACTGGAAGTAGCGCTGGTAGCGCACTAGGTCCTTGTCCAGCTCCTGAAGGTACTGAGCCAGCCCCTGAGCACTGGGAAAGTCATTGATGTGAATAAAGGCATCGGGGGGCAGAAAGCGCTCATAGTTTTCTCGCGGGGGGCACAGACAACGGGCACAGTCCCTGAGCCCAGGGCATTGTACCAGAGCTTCTCGGTGATGTAGTCCTCATGAAGCGAGTTCTCAAAGGTCAGATAGAACTTGTACTGGGACAGGGTGGATAACTGCTTGTCCTGGGGCAGAGGCATGTGATTGCTGCCATATATATCCACGTGGATGTACTTCTTCAGCTCCTCATAGTACTGCACCCGGCGGGAGGCTGGATTCCAGTTACTCACCGCCCAGGCCACCAGCTTGGACTTGGCAGGGATGCTGAAGTTCTGGGGCTGGCTGAGGACCTCCAGCCACCCGTAGGGGGTGAAGATATCAGAGTCCCTTCGGTAAGACATGGTCAGGTTGAAGAGGTTATCCATGAAGCCCAGGTTAGGGCTGTGGGTGGGAGACTCCAAGTTGAACCAGATCCAGCGCTGGGAAAGGGGCCGTGGGCCCTGGGGCAATGTCTTTGGGCTGGAGCAAACATCCCTGTGATGTACGATCACAGCATCAGCCTTGAGGTACCAGCTGCGGTTGACCGTGATGTGACAGTCCTGGATGCCCAAGAGCTCGGAGCATTTTCTCAGGGCAATATGTTGCCCAAAGGGCCAGGTCCACAGCAGGATGGTCAGCTCCGAACCAGACTGTGGATTTGTGGGGTTGTTTGCAGGCTGGATGGTGAAGGTTGAGGGTTGGCTAACCCAGGGCTCTCTGCCTGGGTCTTTGGAGAGCTGAATGTAGGCAAACAAGCAGAAGGCCGTTACGAATTGCGAGAGAGTAAAGATGAAGAGGTGCCGGCAGGCAGGGCTTTTCATGTGCTCCCTGAGCGGCATGGCTGGCCTGGGACTGCAGAAAACACCAATAACAGAGTGATTAGTGATACCTGAACATAGTAGGGTTGGAAGGAGACACAGAACAGTGGCAGGAGCTGGCAAAGCACACTTGAAAATGTACCCCACCGATCTGAAGCCTCACATAAAGCAGAATCACTTGCAGACTCACACTCACGGGTGTAGAAGTTCTTTGTTGCCTCCAATATCTGCTTCTGATGAAATAACTTCTGTGACATACTATACCTGGGGGAGCAACCAGTGATTGCCATATTCCTCATCCTGTAGATAATTGTGATATTGCAAATAAAGCAAGCCATCTGACATATCAGGGGAAAGGTTATGATTTGTTGAAAGTCATTTCTCTATCTAAATATGTACAGCATCCAGACATAAGAATTGTGTTTTTTAGTTTTCACTAAAATATGCTGAGGACTTAGGAAGTGCCTAGCAGGAAGCAGGCAAGCAATAGCTCATGTTAGTTCTGCTGTGCTCAACACAGAAACCCCCAGTCAATTGGAACTTATCTGTGATGGTTCCCCCTAGCCCGATGCTTTATGGAAATTGGCACATAACTATAAATAGGCATAGCTTGGAGGTGCTTTGGAGAAAGTACCTCACGTAACCCAGCAAATTTAATGTTACAGTCTGCTGGATCTATATAGCCTATTTTGGTGAGCATATCATTCTTGTATGTGAAGTTAGAAAGAGCAAGTGTGAGTCTGCTTGTAGTTTTAAATGTGCCAGTGAGAGCCATTGCCAGTGCCCTAGAAGCCTAATGAATTGCTCATCAGCTTAAGTATCAGAGGGGTAGCCGTGTTAGTCTGAATCTGCAAAAGCGGCGAGGAGTCCTGTGGCACCTTATAGACTAACTGAAGTGTAGGAGCATAAGCTTTCGTGGGCAAAGACCCATTTCGTCAGATGCATGATTCGTCATCAGCTTAAGGATATGTAAACAGCTTTCTTTGTCCTATAAGTCCAAAGGTGCTGGAATCTACCATTTTTTTTTCCACAGAAGGGGGATGTAAATAAAAGATTCCTGCTCTGGCGTGGAGAGTCTGTTTAAGGAATGGGCCCTTTGTCTTCACGTGGCGTGGTGCAACTTAAAAGGATACAAAGAGGGCTGGAGACCCAAGTCAAAGAGTTTGTCACTGACTTGAAGGCTAGCCTATGCCTGAAATAAGAACAGCTCTTTAAGTTAAGAATCTTCTTGCAATAAGTTTCTTAGTCATTTAGTACTAGAACTCTTAGGACTATTTTCTTTGCATTTTAATTTAGTAACTTTCTTTGATCTGTCTGTTTTCACATACAATCATTTAAATCCTATTGTTTGCACTTCATAACAACACTTTTGTTTACTATTAGGCCCAGTATAAATAATTGGTATCTGGGGGGAACAATTGTTGTGAGTATCTCTTTCATTGATAAGGGGGGGTTACCTGATGAGCTTTCACTTAGTGAATCTTTAATTTGAGGGGATTTGGTTCCATTTGGGGTTGGTTTCCTGAGTTCAAGATCCTAGATGTGTGTCCACCCAGAGCTGAAGTGGTTCAATGTCTGCATTGCTCTGCAAGGGGACAGTTACCCCAATTCTGTGCCTTGTCTGGGGGAGACCAGAGGAGCTGGTTCCTCAGGG